AGGTCAGTAAAATGGGGACCAAGATTGTTGGGGGCAAGAGGCTGACTGTAAACCGCTTAGAGAGGGCTGTATAAGTCTAAGTGCTATTGCTTGAGAAGGAAGGAAGGAAGGAAGGAAGGAAGGAAGGAAGGAAGGAAGGAAAAGGAAGATGAAAAGGAAGGACTGGGAATGAGAAGGAAGGAAGGAAGCCATAGTGGCATAGTGGTTAGAATGCAGTATTGCAGGCTGACTCTGTCAACTGCCAGTAGTTCGATTCTCAATGGCTCATGGTTGACTCAGCCTTCCACCCTTCCAAAGTCAGTAAAATGAGGACCCAGATTGTTGGGGGCGAGGTGCTGACCCTGTAAATTGCTTAGAGAGGGAAATAAAAGCACTATGAAGCAGTATATAACTGTATATAAGCACTATTGCTATTGTTTCTGTTTTCAGAATCGTAACTCTACACTTTCCAGTGTTCGTACACTGATGCTCATCAGAACGTAGTTTTTGAAAAAAAAATCAAAGTGTGTTGGGATACGATTCCAGAACAGAACGCTCACCTCCCACTATTAAGAAATACCATCCAACGTATCTGCAATTCCAAGGCAGAAAAAGAAAAGGATCTTCTCAGTTAATTGCAGAAAGACAAGAAAGACTCACCTCTGAACTTAGCATGAGTTTTGAACTCAATGACCAGCCGACCATCATCTCGGATGTAGATCCTGATAATTTGCAGCTTGGCTGAAAGGACGCTGTCCGTCTGTATACCTAAAGGAGAGAATGCCAATAGACTGGGCTTCCTCAATGGAGGATCATGGATTAGTCATCACATCACCCTGCTCCCTTGGCTGGAAGTCTATTTCTAGCAGGAGGAAAAACACCAAGGAAGTTCTCAAGAAGCCAAACTTGGCCACAGGGAGGACAACGGAGCATTTCGCGGGGGCTACGGTTCATTCCTTTCAACCCCGTTGTCATGGAGAAAATGAAACTATCCCCCCTACCTGTTCTCCAGAGAATGGTGTCGTAGAAGAAGGAAAACTCCATCTCTGTGTGATGCTCCAGAGAGGCCCAGCCTCTGGGTGCAGTTACATAAACGTAGGAGACGTAAAGTGGGACATGGACGGTCAAGAACGACTGAGCTGAATCCCGAACCTGTCATCACAGAAGGAAAAAGTACTGTATGGTGTTTGCATACCCTCTTGCCTTTTCCTAAAGCAGAGGGACCAATCGGGCTGGTAATGCCCCCTTACTCTAGCCCTTAAGGGCCCATTGCTTTAAAATTTATTGTTTACTATCTCCAGCCTCCAATTCCATAACATGCTTTTAAATCTTGGACATGGAGATGGATAACATGTAAATAAAAATAAAATGATAAGGAAGGAAGGAAGGAAGGAAGGAAGGAAGGAAGGAAGGAAGGAAGGAAGGAAGGAAGGAAGGAAGGAAGGAAGGAAGGAGGCAAGGAGAGAGAATGGGAAGGAAAAAGAGAGAGAGAGAAAGAGGGAGGAAAGGAGAGAGGGAAGAAGACTGGGTGGGAAGGATGGAAAGAACGAGAGAGGGAGGGAGGAAGAAAGGAAGGAAGGAAGGGAAAGAAAGAAAGGAAGGAAGAAAGAAAAAAGAAAGAGGGAGGGAAGAAGGGAAGAGAAAGAGTAAGAAAGGAAGGGAAAGAAAGAAAATGAAAGAAGGGGAGAGAGGGAGTGGGTGGGAAGGAAGGAAGGAAGGGGAGGGAGGGAGGGAGGAAGGAATGAAAGAAGACAGGCTATTTTTTTCTCATTCACATGAAGCACCAAGCTATTTCTTTCCCTGTTCGGGAGAGGGGAATTTAGAAGCAATAAAAGAAAATGGAAATCTTATCATTTTACTTTATTGCTGATTAATAATAAGTATGCATGACCAGGCCCTCTTATCTTTCCCTGGTAGCAGATGATAATGATAATGATCATAATTAGGGCACTGCGCAAAGAGGTTTTTCGGAGCTATTAATATTTCAGGGAAATTTAGGTCCTTCCTCCCCTGAATACCACAGGAGACTTTTCATGCATCCTGCTGAAGGTAAAAGGGCTGGAATTGGAGCCATGCTTGGGCGCTGCATGCGTATCGTACTAGTACTAGACTTATATACCACTTCACGGTGCTTTACTGCCCTCTCTAAGCACAGAGTCAGCCTATTGCTCCCCCCCCCCAACAATCTGGGTCCTAATTTTACCGACCTTGGAAGGATGGAAGGCTGAGTCAACCTCGAGCCGGTCAGGATCGAACTGCTGACGATCGGCAGAGTCATCCTGCAATATGGCATTCTAACCCCTGTACCACCACGGCTCTTACCCTTAAATGCCCCCTGAATAGAAAGGGAGGTCTCCCTCCATTCAGTGAGTGCCAGATTCTTCACACACAGGGCAGCCTCTGAACATGCACAGACTTCTAATGGGAGAGCAAGACGGTTGAGTCAAGGCGCAAATAGATTTATAGATGAGGGTCATCATTTGGCCACTTCCTCCCCCATTTCATTTATTAACTTATTCATAAAATTCACTGGCTACCCGTCTTGTCCTAAGGTGACTCTGGGGCTGCTTACAGACATTAACAAAGTACATCCACATTAAAACATGGATGAATTAAAACCAGAGATTAAAATCAAGGACATGCGGGGAGAGTGAGGAAGGAACGAGCGGGGAGATGGGATACGGTATTACTCAATCCACCACCTCCATGGCGCTGTCCCCTCCCCAGTGTGGTGAACTGGCAGAGCCACATCTTTAGGCCCGTACAAAAAAATAAGAAGGTTGGCGCCAATCTCATCTTGGGTGACGGGCAAGATGTTCCAAAGGGTGGAGCAACAGCAGAGAAGCTCCTCCCTCCTCCTGGTCCCTGCTTGTTGTGATTGGTCAACGGCCAGTGGAGATGGAAGTCGAGTCAGAAAGCTCCACCCTCCCAACTGACATGAAGGTGAAAGAGAGAGGAAGGGGGTTACATTCAGACTTGCAAGATTCTGTTACTAGAGCTGTTCGAATGAAAGTAACTTTAGCTCTACGTGGGGTCTGCTTCTTGGTCTGGACTACATTTTAAGGCTAATACCAGGCCTCCTTTGAAGCTTTTCGGGGACAGTAATGGCTTCATGGACAACTGTTTGCAAAGCCGCTTCTGTTTCTAAAATGCCAAACAACTAGAGTTGTAGAATATATAGCATAACAGAGTTGGGAGGGACCTTGGAGGTCTTCTAGTCCAACCCCTTGCTTAGGCAGGAAACCCTATACCATTGCAGACAAATATTTATTCAATCGCTTCTTAACAACTTCCAGCGTAGGAGCATTTACAACTTCTGGAGGCAATTTGTTCCACTGTGAATTGTTCTGTCAGGAAATGTCTCCTTGATTTTAGGTTGCTTCTCTCCTGGATTAGTTTCCACCCATTGCTTCTTGTCCTTCCCTCGGGTGCTTTGGAGAATAGCTTGACTCCCTCTTCTTTGGGGCAGCCCCTGAGATATAGGAACACTGCTATCATGTCTCCCCTAGGCCTTCTTTTCATTAAACTAGACATACCCAGTTCCTGCAACCGTTCTTTATATGCTATAGCCAAGTTCTGTGATCCTTCAGGTGAATTTACAATAGGGACCAACATGCCAGTGTCATTTCTGTGTTTCCCATATAAAAAGCATTACCTGGAAGTCTGCCGTGACGGATCCTCCACAGACATCAATTAACTCTGTCATGTCATAGTATGCGTCAAATGTCCAAATGCAGCTCTTCAGGTTCAAATGTTTGTAAAACTGGATAGTCTTGGGTTCTCTCACATTGGGGTCAAACTGGTACGGCCGGTCATATCCGGGGCCCAGAACGATATTATTATAGGTCACTTCATCTAGAAATCCAGCTTCTGGGTTGAAAGTAAAGAAATACAGAGCAAAATTTCAGTAATATTTTAGCCATGTCGAACCTAGAATTACTGGGATATATATATAACAGAATTGGAAGGGACCTTGAAGGTCATCTAGTCCAAGCAGGAGATCTTATGCCATTTCAGACAAACAGTTGTCAAATCTCTTCTTAAAAACCTCCAGTGTTGGAATACCCACAAGTTCTGGAGGCAAGTTGTTCCACTGAGTAATTGTCAGGAAATTTCTCCTTAGTTCTAAGTTGTTTCTGTCCTTACTTAGTTCTCATCGATTGCTTCTTTCCTGCCTTCACATGCTTTGGGGAATAGGCTGACCACCTCTTCTTTGTACCAATCCCTTAGTTATTGTAACACTTCTATCGTCACCCCTAGTCCTTCTTTTCACTAGACTAGACACACACATGTTTTTTAGCCTCCAGTACCCTAATTATCTTGGTTGCTCTTCTCTGCACTCTTTCTAGAGTCTTAACATCTTTTTTTATATTATGGTGACCAAAATTGGATCCGATATTCCAAGTCTGGTTTTACTAAAGCATTAAAGTGATACCGACAGCAGAGTAACAAAATATTCAGGATTTTGACAGGCCTGTGACAAATAAATAAGTGAGCAGTTGTTTCCAGATTCATATCTAAACTGATCATTGGGCACACAGAATATTGTTTAGAGCATCTAATTTTCGAGACCATTGCAGCTGTTGATTGACTAACTGCTATCTCTCTTTCATTGCTCTCGGGGTAGTGCTACCAAGCTCCAGGTAATTAGAAAGTCTGTCTTACAGTCATTTAACAATGGCAGGTAGACAAGAAAGAACACTGCAGGGTTTAAAAAAATAAAAATAAAAAGGCACTCAAATGTGCTCATTTCTTTGAAAGCAGGGCAGAAAGAAATATTAAAGAGAAGAGAAAGCTAAACTGACTGACATACCCAACCAAGTAAGAAGGTTTTAAGTTATTTTTTTAAAAGAGAAATATTCTATGTGATGCCTCTAGAGGTTTGTCTCATCTTTTTTTCTGATGGGATCCTTATCTTTTAACAGCTACATGACTGGTAGCTAAAACATGGTCCTGCCTCAGCTGCAAATACAGATACACCATCCTGTCGGTGCCAATTAGGCGGCTACGTTTTCCTGGAATCTGGTGGCTGGGGTTTTCTTTCTTTTGCTATTTTGAGAACTTACTCAAATCCACAAATGTCTTCATAAGAAAACATGGAAAAGAACTTGGGATGAAAATACAAAAGTGGGGGAAAAAAAACCTGAGAAATTCAAGTATGATCATCAGCTATTATTTATAGATGGAGAACAGCTTTAGATTATTATAAGATTAACAGATTTGGAAGGAACCTTGTAGTTCACCTAGTCCAGTGGTGGCTAACCTTTTTGGGCTCTTGTGCCAAAACTTGAGCATGCGTTGGTGTGCGCGTGCTTGTGCCAGCACCCAGAAGGCAATGCGCGCTCCCCCATGCCCCCTGCACATGCGTGCGCAATCCCTCCCCGCCGCTTCAAAAAAGGCTCTGTAGGATATGCAGGACGAATAATAGGCCCGTTTTGTCACTTCCGGTATTACAGGAAGTGATGAAACGGGCCTATTATTCATCCTGCAAAGCCTGCAGAGGCTTTTTTCAAGCCTCCGGGAGGCCGAAAAAGGCCTCAAACCAGCTGTGAGGTGCGCGCATGCGCAGTGAAGTAAGTTTGCCTGCGGCTCGTGTGCCAGTACAAATGGCTCTGTGTGCCACCTGTGGCACGGATGCCATAGGTTCGCCATCACAGATCTAGTCCAACCCCCCAGGCCAAGCAGGAGACCCTACACCATTTCTGACAGATGGCAGTCCAATGTCTTCTTTAAAGCTTCCAGTGATGAAGCTCCCACAACTTCCAAAGGCAATTTCTGTTCCATTGGTTGATTGTTCTCACTGTCAGAAAAAAATTATCTTTATTTCAAGGTTGAATGTCTCCTTGATCAGTTTCCTTCCATTATTCCTTATCGGCCTCAGGTGCCTTGGAAAGTAGCTTGTGCTGACAGATAGGAGGGCTCTGGTTTTGTAAAAGAAACATCAAAAAAGCTCCCAGGGTGGTGCCATCATATCAGCATTATGCCTCCTAGGCTGATTTTTGTTTGGTTCTAAAAGGTACATTCCCAGTTGAGGGTGTTCTCATCTGATGGCTACAAAAAACAATCCAGATAAATGTCTTCATTTCCATCTATCTCTGACAGCAACGTGCATGGCAACCTCTAAAGGAGAATATTGTAGCTTAGGGTTGAAATGAGGGGTCCTCGGGGCTCTCTGAGCGTGGCAATTTTCTTGCAGATGTTATTGTCAACTGTCCAACTAGCGAACCCAAAACAAGGAAACCCTCTCGAGAGAGAGAGTTGAATTCCCAAAAGTAAAATATTATTGGATGCTATTGAAGAAACAAAACCAAGTCTGCTTTTCCCACGCAAATTCTTGCCCAGTTAAAACATAGCTTCCTCTTCTCCCTACTCCAGGGTGATCCCATTGTCCAATTATGAGACACCTGTTTGTTATGGGAACAGTCCATCTCTTTCTCAAGCACCTGCAGTGGTGACCTTGATGGTTTCCATGCTCTTATGATCTCCGCATTACATTTCTTCCATCCCTTCCCTGCAGTTCATGGGCAAACCAAGTAACATCATCAATGCTAGAAGGGAGTGGGGTTTGCTCTCTTTTTATATACGGGTGGTTCCAGGGGTGGGATTCTCCCGATTCAGACAAACCCCTTGTTCCGACGATCAGCTGGACCGGTTCACTCACCGAACCAGTTGTTATACCGGTTGAATCGCACCCCTGGTGTCATGCCCCTGGTGGAGACTGACTCTGAGGGAGAGGAGAACAGCCAACAGGGAGTAGAAGTGTGGCTCCGGAGGTTGTGGAGGAGGCTGGGGAAGGGTAGAGGCTGGCTAGGCAGTTAGAGGAGGACCCAGGCCCATCCCCTCTCCACCCTAGGACACGCAGGGAAGAGAGGATAAGGGAGAGATGTGGTCTACTGGGGAGGAGAGGGCCTCGATCCTTTTCATGGGCTGCAGCTGTGACAACTGGATAAGAGGACGGACATGTGTACAGGCAAGTGCTGGAAACAAAGCATGGAAATATCTCTAGTTTATTGTTCCTCTCTGAGTTTGGCGTCCTTCCCAGTGTGTGTTCTGATATCCGTGGACATCTTCAAGCCCTTATCTTGCCTGGTTTGTGTTGTTTTTTACTCTTTATAATTTAAACAGCATTTCCTCCTTCTTTTAACTGCGTGTGGGGGAGTTTTTTGTCTCCAGTCAAGGCTATTTGGAGCTTGGAAGCAAAGTGAAGGAATAAAAGGGGCTTCACCTGGTTTTTTGTGACTGTGGTTATTTTGTATCTCACCCTGGGTCATCACACCTGGGTGGTTTGTGGCTTTCCCTGTCAGTGTTGAAGGAGTGTTCACCAGGAACCACCAGAAACATTGCCATTAACACTTACAGGGCAAGTTGCTAGTATACAAACAGAGAGCAAACCCCACACCCCTCTAGCTCTGATGATGTTACCTAGTTTGAGTAATAAAATGTCTGCAAGAAAACAACCCAGCTCAGAAAGTACCAAGGGCTCCTCACGACAATCTCTCTTTCTTACGATGTCCTCTTGACACTACCATCATCTGATCCACAGCCCAAATTTGTGGGAGTCTTAAAACCGTACTTTGCTGTGCCTACAGTATACTGAAGTAGTGTTTTCCATCTTATCCCAATACAGGTTTTTCAACCTCACCATTCTCTTGGTGGCACAACTGTAGAAGGTGGGATCATTTCCCCACCTGTTAAAACTGTAGCTTTGTGGTGGACATGCCATTCTCCTCCGGTCCTGGGCAATGTTTTCAAGGCCATTCTAGTTTGGGTGGTAGGAGATCTGTTTTTTTTCCCAAACCGAGCTCTTCCCTTGTAGACTCCAGGCCCAGCCCAGCTAGACATAAAAATGTAAAAGAAGGAGAGGGAACTTCTGCAAGACCAGGATTCTACACTGTTTTGAAGAAGAACGTCTCACCTGAGATGCCTTTAAGATCTTGGATGCTGACGATATTGGAACAGACATGTTGGTGCCTATAAATGGATTCTGACAATAGGAAATGCAAGTTGTGCAGAGGTCTGGTAGAAATCAAGGGAAGCATCCCGTCCTGGTGTGGAATTTGCACCGAGATGTGGATTCTGGAACGACACAGTAAGGCAGAAATTGGACAGTTACGTTGGATAAGCTCCACACTAAAAGAATATCGAGATACACATATTAAACTCTAATCAATAAGCCAGCTGGTTTGTTTGTTTTTTTGGTGCTGTTCAAAAGGCAACTTTTGAAATGGGCTTTCTTGTTTTGTTTTCCCTTGAAGACATTTCGCTTCCCATCCAAGAAGCTTCTTCAATTCTGGCTGAATGGTGGGGGATGGAAGGATTTATATTCCTCGCGGTCATTAGCACTGTGAAGGTTGGTGGTTACATGTAGCTCTCTTGGGAGTTTAACAGAGTGCCAATGGGTATGGAGCCTTCTTGGTATTGCTAAAAGGATTGTGTCATAGGCAGGAGGTAGGTGGTCTCGTATACAGGTACTCCTCAATTTACGACCACACTGGAGCCCCAAATTTATGCTGCTGAGTGAGAAATTTATTAAGTGACTTTTGCCCCATTTTAAGACTTTTCTTCACTTAACAGTTGTTTTAAGTGAATCATTGCAGTTGTTAAATTAGTAACACCGTTGTTAAGTGAATCTGGGCTTCCCCATTGACTTTGCTTGCCAAAAGGTCGCAAAAGGGGATCATGTGACTTCAGGGATACTGCAACAGTCATAAATGCGAATCAGTTGTCAAGCATCTGAATGTAAATCACGTGACCTCATACAGATACAGATAATCAGAGTTGGAAGGGATCTTATAGGCCATCTAGTCCAACCCCCCGCCCAAGCGGAAGACCCTACACTATTTCTGACAAATGGGAGTCCAATCACTTCTTGAAAATCTCAAGTGATGACGCTTCCACAATTTCCGAGGGCAACTTCTGTTCCATCGGTTGATTGTCTTCATGGTCAGAAAATTTCTCCTCATTTCCAAATTGAATCTCTCTTTCTTCAGTTTCCATCCATTATTTCTTGTCTGGCCTTCACATGCTTTGGAGAATAGCTTGTCCCCTTCCTCTCTGTGGCAGCCCCTCAAATAGTGGAAGACTGCTATCATGTCTCCCCTGGTCCTTCCCTCCACTAGACTAGACAGGCCCAGTTCCTCCCACCGTCTTTCATATGTTTTAGACTCCAGTCTCCTAATCGTCTTGTTTGCTCTTCTCTGCATTCTTTCCAGAGTCTCAATATCTTTTTTATAGTGTGGTGACAAAAACTAGATGCAGTATTCTAAGTGTGGCCTTACTAAGGCTTTATAGAGTGGTATTAGTACCTCACTTGATCTTGTGTGTGCGTGCACCAAATGCACACTTTGTGCAGGTGCAGAGACTTTCTGACTGACCTCCTGCACTCTCCCTGTCGCTTCAGCAGCTGCCGCGCAGCAATTTGCTGTGCCGCGCAAAGCAGTTGCGCTTCAAAAGCAGTACATATAGGTTAGTATGGGAGCCCGGGCGGGTGGGTGGGCCCAACAGCAGAGTGTTGGAGAGAACCGGTTAGGTCTCCGCTGCTCATCGGTGCTACCGGCTCGGCCAAACCGGTAAAATGCCACCACTGATTGGAAGTTACAACGGCACTGAAACAATAGACTTACAACCAGGCCTTTAACTTCAAGGGTGGGATTCTGCCAGTCCGGACCAGTTCAGGTGAACCGGTAGTTCCGGTGATTATTTGGCCCTGCCCATCCACCCCTGACCTACTCGTCCTTTATTTCCATGTTTTACAGCTCAGCAAAACGCCTCAGCTGTTTTACTCTCCGGGGCTGCAGTAGAAGGTAAGTATTAAGAGCTGAAAAGCCGAGTTTTCAAATGATGCGCGTGCCCACAAAGCACAGGTTCACCGAACCGGTTGTTACACCGGTTGAATCCCACTCGTTTAACTTACAACTGTTGGCCTATATTTTGCTTAGCCAGGGAAGTTCTAGCCCCGACTATGGTTCTAAGTCAAGCACCCATAAGGAAGGCCTGTGTAAACTTTTATCAAAACAAGGACCTCCAATTCTTGTAACTGTTATATCATAACAGCTCCCACTTATAAACCAAAGTTTATTCTTGGCTTGCGATCCTGGCTTGTTAGAGAAAAATCTAAGTGAGGAAACTTGGCCTGAATAAAATGTTAAAGGAACCACAAATAGAGGCTTCTCTTAGCCCCGTTGAGTCTGCTACTACTGAACAGATAATTAAGTTATGCAGGATAAGGGAGCTAACCAAGACCTTCGTCACTGAAAAACCAGTTTTTACGAGAACAGGAGCTCTGCGTTTCTTGCTTTTTACCTGTTAGGATGTTCCTTATGTTTTACATCCAAGTATTTCAAGGTGGCAATGAAAGATTGAGCTTGGAAACCCCGGGCTGTGCCAGCCACCACAGGGGTATGGCAGATGGCGCTGTCGGTCCCAATGGTGACTATGTTACTCCGTAGGGGAGTGCCCACGTGGCCGACTTTATCCACGGCTTTTGTCACGCAGCGTACGTGGAATCTCCGGCTGAAGTAAATGCTGTCCAGCACCTGAGAGGAGGGGGAGGAGGAGGAGGAGGAAGAAGAAGAGAGAGGAGAAGGAAGAGGGAGGATGCTGAATGGGTCTGAACATCAGTCAGGCTAAGAGCCCTCAGGAGTCTTTCCTGTTAGGATGATCATACATTGGCTTTTCTTTTGCTGACATTAAATGAATCACGGCCTCCGACCTTTTTTTTTTTTTTTTTTTTTGCCGAGGTCGTTAAATGAATCACCGCAGTCATTCAGCAAACCCAGCTTTCCCCCATTGGCTTTGCTTGTCAGAAGCCAGCTGGGAAGACCACAAATGGTGAAGTCACCCTGGGAGGTTGTATAATATCTACCTCATACTCCTTCTTCTTGTTTTCCCCCCAACAACAAACCTGTGAGGTGGGCTGGGTTGAGAGAGCGTGACTGGCCTAAGGTCACCCAGCCGGCTTTCATGCCTAAGGCAGGACTAGAACTCACTGTCTCCTGGTGATTGGCCCAAAGTCACCCACCTGTCTTTCAGGTCTAAGGCGGGATTAGAACACACAGTCTCTTGATGATTGGCTCAGTCACCCACCTGTCTTTCAGGTCTAAGGCGGGATTAGAACCCACAGTTTCTTGATGATTGGCTCAGGCACCCAGCTGGTTTTCATGCCTAAGGCAGGACTAGAACTCACTGTCTCCTGGTGATTGGCCCAAAGTCACCCACCTATCTTTCAGGCCTAAGGCAGGATTAGAACTCACAATCTCCTGGTGATTGGTCCAAAGTCGCCCAGCTGCCTTTCATGCCTAAGGGAGACTAGAACTCATAGTCTCTTGATGATCGGCCCAAAGTTACCCAACTGGCTTTCAGGTCTAAGGTGGGACTAGAACTCACAGTCTCCTGGGTGATTCGTCCAAAGTCACCCAGCAGGGTTTCAGGTCTAAGGAGGAACTAGAACTCACAGTCTCCTAGTGTTTGACCGAAAGGCACCCAGGCTTTCATGCCAAGGCAAGATTAAAACTCACAGTTTCTTGGTTTCTAGCCCAGTGCCTTATTCTCTAACACTTCTCTTTATCCCAAGCAAAAGGCTGTAGGAAAGAGGTGGTTGAGTTCTGACCTGATTTTTTTGCAGATGATTTTTTAAAAGCGGCTGAGGCTATAATACCCAAGGATCTGAGGCCTTGGTGACTATCATGCTCCTGTCCAATTGGCCAGGCTTTGGTGGCTATGGAACTGCACACCTGATAGGGCAGGTGATCTCACTTCTCTCTTGAAGACCCACAACACCTGAAGCAGAGGTGGTATTCAGCAGGTTCTGACCAGTTCTGGAGAATCAGTAGCGTAAATTTTGAGTCATTCAGACAACCAGCAAATACCAACTCTGACTCAAGATTTTACAGTATCCTTCCCCTGCCACACCCACCAACCCACGCCCACAGAACCGGTAGTAAAAAAGAAATTGAATCCCACCATTGACCTGAAGCATTAAAGATATGTGTGGTCCAGCAATTGCATAATGAAAATGTGATCATGGGGCCATTGTTTGGATGCTCCAATATAAATAAATAAAGTAGAAATTTATGGAGGAGAACATGACAGGCCTAAGGTCACCCAACCAGCTTTCAGGCCTAAGGCAGGACTAGAACTCACAGTCTTCTGGTGATTGGCCCAAAATCAACTGGATTTTTACAAAAAGCAAGTCGGTTAATAGGATAGACTCCTGCAGATTTGGAAGGAGTTACTGTTGTTGTTTTTTCGATCACTCTGCAATTGGACATTGACAATTTGAAGGGGGCATGAAAGCAGAACCTGCCCAGGACAGGTCACAAAATAAAATTGGAAGACAATAGAAAAAAAAGGGAAGTGGCAAAATAGATGCACAGGAAGGAAGTGGCGTTAGCAAAACTGACAAAGAATGAAAGAACTACTTCAGTGATGATTACTCACTAGAAAGAGAATGGATTGGTAGTTACCAGGGAAAGAATGCAGATTTTCATTCATTTCTTGATATTTAGCTACCTCCTGATATTCTAATTCACCATATAATTCCTAATTTATTCAGGAGCATTTAAACCTGCAGAATGTCACCCTAACCTGAAAGTGGTTCAGTTCAGCCCAGCCCAACCCAACTCATGCCCCCTTATCCTCGGCACGATTCTTTATACTCACCATGTGATTGACACTGGTGAAGGGGGTATTGTCCGTAATGGTTTCAAAAGGGGACCTGGCTCCATTTCCATCCGTGGGGGTGGCCACCTCCCAGCTGAACTGGATGGAGGACTGGTTGATCCCAGCTTCACTGCATCGCTCCTTCATCACCGAGTACTTGGGGAAGTGAGAATCGCAAGGGGTAACACAGACCAGGGGGTAGCCGGGGGACGGCGACTTCTTAGCTCCTGTTGTGGTTTCCTCTTCAACCTGGTCGTACTCCGACAGCGTAACCACCTGCAGGGACAATGTAGGCAAAGCAACAAAGGTGATTGGAGGACTGGAGGCTAAAATATAGGAAGAACAATGGCTGGAATTGGGTATGTCTGGTTTGATGAAAAGAAGGACTAGAGGTGACTTGACAGACAGATTTGACAGATAATCGGAGTTGGAAGGGACCTTGTAGGTCATCTAGTCCAACTCCTTGGCCAAGCAGGAGACCCTATAACATTTCTGACAGATGGGAGTCCAATCTCTTCTTGAAAGCCTCCAGTGATGAAGCTGCCACAACTTCCAAAAGGCAACTTCTGTTCCATTGGTTGATTGTTCTCACTGTCAGAAAATTCCTCCTTATTTCCAGGTTGAATCTCTCCTTGTTCAGTTTCCATCCATTATTCCTTCTCTGGCCTTCAGGTGCTTTGGATAATAGTTTGAACCCTTCCTCTCTGTGGCAACTCCTCAAATATTGGAACACTGCTATCATGTCTCCCTTGGTCCTTCTCTTTGCTAGACTAGCCATGTCCATTTCCTGCAACCATTCATCGTATGTTTTAGTCTCCAGTCCCCTCATCATCCTGGTTGCTCTTCTCTGTACTTTTTCTAGAGTCTCAACATCTTTTTTATGGTGTGGTAACTGGATAGCAATGGTCCAATATCTCAGGGGTTGCCACAAAGAAGAGGGAGTCAAACTCTTCTCCAAAACACCTGAGGGCAGGACCTTTTTTTGGAGATGTTTGTTAAGTGAATTTTGCCCCATTTTACGACCATTCTTGTCACAATCAGTAAGTGAATCACTGCAGTTGATAAGTTAGTCACACGGTTGTTTGGTGAAACTGGCTTCCCCATGGACTTTCATGGCCAGAAGATCGCACAAGGGGATCATACGACTCCGGGACATTGCAACCGTCATACATATGAATCAGTTGCCAAGAGGCTGAATTTTGATCACGTATCCATAGGGGGCGCTGCAACGGTCGTAAGTGTGAAAAACGATTAAGAGTCAGGGGTTTTTTTCAGTGCCGTTGAAACTTCGAACGGTCACTAAATGAAGTGTTGTAAGGCAGGGACTCCCTGTGGTGTTTTGATACCTCCATCGGATGCATCAAACTGTGGAAATATTATGACCCAGAGTGTAACACAAACGTAACAAAATCCAAAACGTAAAATAAATGTCCTTTAATGCCTCCAACTTGGCCCCATTCTCAGTTGGAGATAAAACGTATTCAAAAATAGTCTTCAAAAGAAAGCAATACAGTCCGAACTTAATGAGCAGATAGAGGTGAAATAAAAAAACCAAAACAAACTACAATGAAGGAAATTCCACAACGGACCAGGATAAGTAATTACCAAATTCAAGGAGATAACAAGGCACAGTCTGTTGGAAGGATGCCAACCAAGATGATTTCAGCCCAAAATAAAACACACTTTGCTTCTGGCAATGCTGTGTTTTAACCGTCTCTCTTATATACTATTCTCCCCAGCTGCAACCAATGAGGGGGATCATGGCCGCATCCTCTCTCGTAAGCCAAGTTGTTTCCTTTTCCGTTCCTCCCTGCGTGTCCTAGGATGAAGAGGGGATGGGCCTGATTCTTCCTCTGACTGCTCAGCCGGCCTCTGCCCTTCCTCAGCCTCCTCCACAACCTCCGGAGCCACACCCCCACTCCCTGTCGGCTGTTCCTCCTCTCCCTCAGAGTCCGACTCTAACAAGGGCATGACAGGAAATGGACTCAGACTTTCCATGGAATAGTAATTCCCACCATTCAACTCCCACATTTTAGCTTGGGTCAATACGGGCAGTACAAATATAGAGAGCGGTGACTCTCAACCTTAAGTCCATACTTCTTGAAGTTATCAAGAAGGACTTGAGTAGAGGGCCTTGAAGTGACTCCACATTTTAGAAGAATATGAAGGACTATAATTCTCAGCCTTCCACCCCACCACTTGTCTGGCACTTCAGGAGAATTATGGTTCAATAGTATCTGAAAGCCACCTGCCCTCACTCCTGATTTAAGGTTTTAGAGGAGATGATGAATTCAGATAATTCTAAATTAACGCTGTGTAAAACAAACAGAATTAAACCACCGAACTGCCAAGGACCAAGACCTAGTTACCAGCCCACTGCCTGTACCAGTGGGTTTTTATTTACACAGATTTATTATTTTTTTTGATTTACAGAGCAAAAATTATGACATATCCTCACAAAGTGCTGGATGAAACCCTATTTATCATCTGCATACACAGGACAGCCTTTATTTATTTAATTTGGGGGCCTTTAAATCAATCCTGGTGACTGCTTGGATGCAGTTTTTACGGCAAGATTTTTCAGGAGTGGTTTGCCATTGCCACCTTCCCGGGCTGAAAGAGATGGACCGTCCCAAAGTCACCCAGTTGGGTTTCATGCGGTGGTGGTTTTCAGCCGGTTCGCACCGGATCGAGCGACCAGTACAAGGAACTGGCATGCGTCGTCAAACCGGTAGTAAGTTCTGGGCTTGCCACATCCCACACCTGGTCGCCCGGTCACCCCGGATCGCTTGCCCCGCCCGCCTGACACTCGCCCCTTGAGGTATTTCTTTCTTGCTTTTCCCTCCTGACAAACAGCTGTTCATACGATCAGCTGTGCCGGGATTCCCCATGCTGAGGCCCAGGAAGGCAAAAAGATGGAGGGAGGGGCTCAGCCTCCCCTCCTCCATTTTTTGCCTTCCTGAGCCCCACAGGAGCCTTTTGGGAGCAAGAACGTCCCCTAGAGGCTCCTCTGAGGCCCAGAAGGCCCAAAAAAACGGGTGAAGGGGTGGCTGCAGAAAAAAAGAAAAAGCCACCCAGTCACACGGCCATGCCCACCTAGCCACACCCACCAAGCCACACCCACAGAAATTTTTTTGAATCCCACCACTGGTTTGTGGCTAAGGCAGAACTAGAACTCACAGTCTCCTAGTGATTGGCTCGGAGTCACCCAGCTGGCTTTCATGCCTAAGGTGGAACTACAGTTCACGGTCTCTTTTTGATTGGTCCAAAGTCAACAAGCTTGTTTCACGCCTAATGCTAGAACTCACAGGCACCTGGTTTCTAGTCTGCTGCCATGAGCATCACATCAAATCTCTCTCTATGCCAGATTTGGGCCACTCCATAAAAAAAGCACTCTTAGAACCAACCCTTAGTTCATCATTTGAGTTAATGTTTCTTACTATAGGAGGAGCTGGTAAAATGAGGCTTCCGGCTGCCTCTTGGTCCAAGATGGTCACAATTGTGGTAGTGAGATCCCCCAAAACAGCTTCAATGGGATCATCTGGACCCAAGACCAGAGAAAAGGATTCGTGCCACTCCCGGTCTTCATTGGACATGATCTCCACCTTAAAGAAAACATGGTCCATACCTGTGGGAAAGAACATGAATCTAAGCAAGTTATCATTCGACAGGACCTTAAACGCACCCATGAGGCATCTATCTATCTATCTATCTATCTATCTATCTATCTATCTATCTATCTATCTATCTATCTATCTA